TTTTTTCCCCCCTCTCCTCAATCATCCCCGTCTTTCTCCCTCAGTGTCAGTCTGGAAGGACTGGACCCCGAGGAGATGCAGAGGGTTTTGGGGGGCGTCTCCCCTCCCCAAGGCAGGTGTGACCCTCGCAGGAAGCCCATCACACATTGCACACAGGAACTGGAGTCCCTGCTGTCACTCACAGAGGAGGAGGTGGGCCCAGAGAAGGGGCACTTTCTGTTGCTGAAGGTGAGCTGATAGGGGATGCTGATTGGTTTAGACACGTGTCCGTCAACACGGACAGGAGTTTCTTGGAATTTTTCCAGAAGGGATATCATTAATAACGTAATGCTGTAGAGCCTGTGATGATGCCCGATTCCAGGCAGCCGAGTGAGGATGGATTAAATGTTATCCTCTGAACCATTACTCATGCATTTTAACAGTAGTCATTTTCAAACTTTAATAAGAGGCATTAAAAATGCAACATATGTTTGAGTTTCCAGTACTCATTTTGTTGTGTCATAAAGGTATTTCAGTGCATTTTTAATTAACTCAGAGTGGGTACTGCCGTTGATAACCATGAGCTCTGGAAAGAGAGAGCCGCTGGATTTACGTGCAGCATGTGCTGATGAACTTGCGCACGGCTGACACACACGCACACTCCCCTGTGGTGACCTTCCTGTGACCCCCCCCAATGTGACCCCCCTGTGTGTTGCAGGCCAAACAGCTCCAGGAGCGCAGCTCGTCGGCGCCCTCTATCTGTGTCAAGCTGACCAAATCCGCCTCCCTCTCTGTCATCTACCAGGACTACTCCGACTCTGACGGTGAGTGAGTGACGACTCGGGCTGCCTGTGTCTTTCTCTTTCTCTCCTCTGGTTCTCAGCCTGTTCCGCAGGATCTGGGTCACCCACGGGTGTGCTGTGTGCATATACGCGGTGGGGGGGGTCTGTGTGGTACTGTACAGTCTATCTACATAGATGTGCTGGGTGGCAGTGTGGCACAGCCAGCCAGGGCTCTGGACTGGTCACTGGAAGGCTGCGGGTTCGAATCCCAGCAGGCGAGGCTGTTCCTCAAGGAAGCCAGGATTAAAACACTCAGCTGCATTAATGGCAGTAGTGACCGTGTGTACTCAGTTGACCTATCAAACCCGTGCAGATCTGCCCAAAGGCTGGCCTTTAAGAAGCCGAAGGGTCTTTACAAGATAAAATCTACCCGCGCTGAAATCCGTAGCGTGAGAATAGGAGTGAGTGCCGCTTGGGCAAACAAGTCACACACCCAAAAATACAGCCTGTCTGAATCTGCTGAGAATGCAAGGAGATGGGTCTGCATTCCCATGTGCACACGAGTGCATTCGGCTTCACAGTGCCGGTGTACATCTTGTGCATGTTTAAGGACAAATGAATGTGGAATGTGGACATGCGAGGGGTCTGGTTGTGTTTTCCAGTGTGCCCGTCCGTGTGTATGTGTGTGTGTACGGGGTGTGTGTGTGTG